GGCACGCCCCTCTACAGGAGGAATCTTCGAAAATAGCGGAAGTAATAGTATGGGGGCGATGGTTAGACTATTTCTGAATATCTTTTAATATGTTTTACTTTTCGCCCAAAATCCAACCGTAGGAGGACATGCCCGACCTAACCCTAGTTTTTCCAACGACGACCTCCGAGCAGTTGCCTCCTACAGTCAACCATGATAGTAAGGATGTGGCAGCGCCAGGGTACCCTTACATCCTTGCCCCTCCGGCGTATCCTTGCCAACTTTCGCTGGCCAACGTTCGGCAAGGATGGCGGCGCGCCAGGCTACCCTTGCATCCTTCGAAATTCGGCCGCGCTCAGCGCGTAAAACCTCAACATGGCGTTCCAATCAAGGGAGGAAAAACCACCCGGACCGGACAATTGCCGTTCTCTAAACGGCCTTGGGCGTTTACTAAACAGCCGTGCGCTGTCCGATTCCTTCAGTGGGTGCGTTTAGTAAACGACTTCGCGTGTCGGGGTGGTTATGATGGGGGTGGATGTTTTCACCTCTATCCCAGGCCCCTGCACCCTTACCGCGCATCCTTCTGATCCTGGCTGGCTGTAATTCGCCCGGGGCCGCTTCTGCGTGCAGCCGACGACACCCCGGCGGCTGCCTCGCGCCGCTTCGCACCTCTTCCGCCCGTGGTGCGCGCGACGGTGCCCCCCCCCCCCCTTGCGCGCCTGCCGCCGCCGCTGCTCGGCCGCCGTCCGCCCCTCCTTGCGTTGCGTCGGGCGCGTCGCTCTAGAGGTGGAATGCTCGATGTATATATATAGATACACACAAACAATCAATCAGGGGTCGATATTTTGACTATGTTTTGCTACGTTTGAATATGTTTGGCTACTTTTGAGTATTTCTGGGGTGCTGTGTCTTGTTGTCCAACCGGGCCCGCCACCTCCTTGCCCCCTTCACGCAAGTCGGGCATGTCCCTCCACAGGAGGCCTTTTCAAGAACAATCAAGAAATCGTCGGGGTACGATGTTTTTACCATTGCTGGCAATTTTTGTATATTTGTGTCGGGTGTTTCTTTATCTTTTTCGTCCCAGGTCCGCCTGTAGGAGGACGCGCCCGACCTAACCCTTGCGGCCCCTGGCCAATAGTGAGGGTCCGGCGATAGTCCAGGTCATCGGGCCCGCCTCCCCCCTGGCCCCTTCGCCCCAGAAAACCTGACGTTCTCGGTTGCGTAGGTCCGGAGGGGTCACGCTGCACTGGTGCGCGCGGGCATACGTGGAGCTGTCAGGAGCGAAAAAGTGAGGTGATCGGCCGGCACCACGGTCCCCCACCCAAGCCAGATAATCTGGGCTATCATTTCAAAAATCCGCACCGTGCGACATACCCAACCCATCTGCACTCAGTGACACGCACAGCTGGTCCAGAATAGCACGGCTGATGGCAACACCGGGTGTGCCATTGGTTGTGCGAAATTTATGGGAGCGCGCGCGCTGCGCGATTCACAGGGCTGTATCAGAAGGACGGGGACGGAGGCCCCAGGTTCGAGAAATTCGCCAGGGGGCAAAGCAGCGCGGCACGCGCCATGTCTTACTGGCGCTCCGAAAGATCAGCTGTTCATAGCCAGTGCAAGAAGCGAGCGCGGCCGAGCTCGCCCGCCAGGTTCTCCGCTTCCTTCCCGCACCGTGCCTCGCGGGAGCTCAACGCCCGCAGGCGCGCGTCTAGGCATTCGGGCGGTCCGCGGGAAAAGAAGTCAAGGTTCAGGTGATGCTGCGTGAGACGCATCTGCGCTGGATCCCCAGCAGCCCGCGGAAGCGGCGACAGTTTCGCAGTGCGCATACCACCAGGGATGGCGAGGTCTTGCCCTGAATCTGCGTAGGGCGTCACTCCGCTGGATTCCCCAGCGCCCTTACGAAATTGGCTGCATTATTGCAGATCGCAGCCGCCCAAGGATGGTGAGGTCTAGTCCGGATGTGCGTAGGATGTCGCTCTGCGGGGCCCCCCAGCAGCCATGCAAAATTGGTGGCTGTTTCGTTTTTCGCAGCTCGCACCCCCCAAGAGGAGGCGAGGTAACATTTCAGCAGTCTTCGAAAGTGGCGACAGTTGCGCAGATCGCAGCCCCCCTTAGATATGGCGGGGTCTGGTGCGAGGGGGACTTCTCTCCGCTGGACCCTTTCAGCAGCCATTGCAAGTGGCGACAGTTTCGCGTATTTCAGCCCCCATGCGTAGTCCTTAACACAACACCCTGGCCGCTTTCGATTTGCAGTGTGCGCCCAAATCGCGACGTTCTGTCTAGCTGCCTGTACTCTTCGCTCTGCCTTTTCAGGCCCGTCGGTGTGGATAAACAGTTGTACAGTTTGTTGTTTGTTGGTCGAAGGTTGTTCTTAGTTTTCCCGGCCGTCTTCACTCCCATTGTTCGTTTCTGTTGCCAACTGGCGCAGAGGGGGATTGGCGCCAATCTCCCCCGCAGAGGTGAAAACGCCAAAAAACGTTCGAACACCAATTTGGCTCTGGCCCGACACGCGCCCAAAGGCCCGACGGCCCCAGGAGGGGCAATCGGCCATCGGGCCCGGAGGCCCGACGCCCTTGGAGGGGTTCCGAGGACGGCGAGCAGCCGGACTGAGAGAGCCGGAGGGTTGAGGACTGCACGCCCGGAAAAGGAATTGCGGACGCCGCAGGTGGCAATGGCAAACACTGCAACCAACTGAACTGAAAGCGCTAAACAAGGCAGCCAAAAAAACGCAAAACACCTGGTTTCGTTGCGTTCGTAGTTTTCTGGCTGGGACTTAAAAACGCCCAAGTACTGATTGACAACACGCCGAGTTGAAAATAGCACTAAGAAGCGCCAGTGCCCGATGGGTGGCGAGGTCCAGCGTACGTCCGCGTATCTCGTCACCCCACTGGACCCCCAGCGGCCCTCGAACGTGGCGACAGTTTCGCAAGTCGCCCCCCCATCCCCCCCCCCACACACACAGGGATGGCGAGGTGTAGTTGGAATCTGCGTGGAACGCCGTACCGCTGGACCCCCCAGCAGCCTTCGAAACTGGCGACGGTTTCGCAGATCGCACCTCCCCCCAGGTATGGCGAGGTGTAGTTGATGTTTGCGTCGGACGTCGCAGCTTGCGAAAGTGGCGATCGTTTTGCGGATCGCAGCCCCCCCAGGGATGGCAAGGTTTAGTTTAGGGTAGCGTGTAGCGTCACCACTCCCCCCAGCAGCCTTCGAAAGTGACGACCGTCTTTCACATCGTACCCCCCTGCTCTTGCGGCGAGTTCTAATGTAGGTCTTCGTGGGACGTCACTCCGTTGGACCCCCAGCAGCGTTCGAATGATGCGACAGTTCTGCAGATCGCAACACCCCCCGCCCGCAGGGATGGCGAGGTGTCGTTTGGGTTTGCGCTTGGCGCCGTTCCGCCAGGCCCTCCAGCAGCTTTCGGAAGTTGCGACAGTTTCGCAGATCGCAGCCCCCGTAGGCGTGGCGAGGAGGCGAGGTAGCAGGCAGGTTGGAGGCGGGGCAGAAGGCAGGTAGGAGGCGGGGTAGTAAGCAGGCACAAAAAAAGGCGCAGAAGGAGGCAGGATATGGGGGAGGGGAGAATGGGCAGAGGGATATGTGCGACCGCAACGCAACGAAAACCCAACGCAGGAGGGCTGGGGGGAACAGTAACAACAGCAACAACAACAGCAATGACAGCAACAGCAATAATACTGACAACACCAACAACAACAAACACAACAGACACAACAAAAACAACAACAACAACAACAACAACAACAACAACAACAACAACAACACCAACACCAGCAACAACAACAACAATAATAACAGCAACAACAGCAACAACAGTCACAACACCAACAACAACAATAACAACAACAAACACACCAACCACGACACCAACAATAATAACACCAGCACCAATCATTTTAAGACTGTTCGCCCTCATCTGCTCGAGTGTCCAATAACGCGTATTTCCCAAACCTTTGATACCCGCCCTCGTCGTCTTCGATCGAACCCATTCTGGGGGGTATGCATTTTTTCCCGGCCGGGCCCCGGCAAGCGGCGGGGCGGCCGCGGACCGTCGTCCTGGCCAGCGACAGCGCTGATCGGCTGGGCGGCCGCGGACCGTCGACCCGACCCCAAGAGAGACGGACAGGGGACCGACCACGACGACGACGACGTCGACGACGACGGCGACGACGACGACGACGACCGCGACGACGACGACGAGTGAAAGCGAGAGCGAGAGAGAACGACAGCAGGGCCACGAAGGACACGAAGTAGGCCACGAAGGGCGACAGCGGGGACACGAAGAGAATGTGTTTGTGGCCACGAAGAGCGCGAACGAGCGGGGGCCACGAAGAGCAAATAATGCGGGGCCACAGAAGGCAACGATGGGGCCACTGAGGGTAGCAACTGGGGCACTCAGACAGTGAGGGGGCCACAAACGGCGACAGCGGGGCCACGAAGGGCACGCACGCGGGGCCACAACAGGCGCGAACGAGCGGGGGCCACGAAGGGCATGTGCATGTTGGGCCGCGGAGGGCAAGAACGGGGCCACTGAGGGCAGCAACGGGGCCACGAAGGGCAGCGAGGGGGCCGCGAAGGGCGACAGCGGGGCCACGAAGGGCATGCATATGGGGCCACCACGGGTGCGAACGAGCGGGGGCCACGAAGGGCATACATGTATGGGGCCACGAAGGGCAGCGAAGGGGCCACGAAGGGCTGCAACGGGGCCACGGAACAAAGCGAGGGGGCCACGAAGGGCTGCAACGGGGCCACGGAGGGCAGCGAGGAGGCCACGAGGGGCTGCAACGGGGCAACGAAACAAAGCGAGGGGGCCACGAAGGGCTGCAATGGGCCTACGAGGCAAAGCGAGGGGGCCACGAAGGGCTGCAACGGGGCAACGAAGGGCAACGAGATCCCGATTCCCAGGCAATCTGTGAGGGATTCCTAAGCGTGAGCGCGACTCCTGGGTGCCTGGGTGTCGGGAGCGCGGCGCTTGAGTACATTGCAGGAAATTCCAACGCAAGGGCGCTGTTCGTCAGTAGAGTTCAAGCAAGTCTCCACCGAGAGCGCGACTCCAGAGCGCCGGGGAACGATTCCTGAATTAATTGTAAGGAAGTCCCATGCGAGAGCGCGATTCCTGAATACTCGGGCGGGAGCGGGCGGTCCTGGTTAAATTGTGAGGAAGTCTAAGGTGGGAGCCGTTGTTCTTGTAACCGGGGGGCCAGGGGCGCAGTTTGAGCACTAAGACGTTCCTTGTCAACAAAAACTGGGTGCGAGCGTCGAGGGGTACACTTTGATGGGGAAAAAACAGTATGCACCGGCGGGGGGATCAACAATCCTAATTTTTCACAAATGAGAGTTCAACAGCAACAACAACAACAACGTCGACGACGACGACGACGACGACGACGACAACAACAACAACGCCAACAACAACAAGCACAACAACACCAGCAACAACAACAACAACAACAACAACAACAACAACAATAACAGTCACACTAAGACAACAACAAAAACAACAACAATAACAACAACAACAACACCAACTACAAAACAAAACAGCAACAACAACAATAAAACAAAGAAACGTTCTCCAGCCCGGGCTCCCGCTGGTGCTGCGGGGCCTCAGCCTGCGGGTGGAGGCCGGGCAGCGGCTCTCGGCGGGAAGGGGAACGTGCGGTGCCCGGTCGCGGTTGCGCGCGGCTCTGACCCGTGCCCCCGAGATCACGGCGGGTGGCGTTGTTCGGCGGCGAGCGAGGGGGGGAAGTGAGAAAGAGAAGGCCCTCTCAGGAGGCGGCGGGACTTCTCAGAAGCCCTCGCGCCTTCTGGGAAGTGTTTGTCCGTCTTCGGGGAAGGCTTAGAACACTTCTCGGAAGTCCCAGGGATTTCCGAGCCTTCTAAGAAGGCCCGCCCCTTCTCACTTCCCCCCTCACCCGCCGCCCGGTTGTGACAGCTTTGGGCTGCTGGGGGCCATCAGTCGGCGTGCTCGACGCAGTCCGATCCAGCTCGAAGAGTTGCGCAGGGCGGCGGAGGAAGAGGACGAAGAGCAGGAAGAGGAGGAGGAGGAGGCGGAGGAGGAGGCGGCGGAGGAGGACGAAGAGGAGGACGAAGGGGAGGAGGAGGAGGAGGAGGAGGAGGAGGAGGAGGAGGAGGCGGAGGAGGAGGAGGAGGAGGAGGAGGAGGAGGAGGAGGAGAGGAGGAGGGAGGAGGAGGAGGAGGAGGAGGAGGAGGAGGAGGAGGAGGAGGAGGAGGAGGAGGAGGATGAGGAGGAGGAGGAGGAGGAGGAGGAGGAGGAGGAGGAGGGGTCTCTTGGGAACGACCGGCAAGCAGAAGTCGCTCGGGACTTTCGGTGGCGACGACAGGGGCGAATAATTAGCCCAGGGGCGGGCACTACACGCACTCGCCCCGGAGCCTCGTCGAAGGCATAGATCATCGGCGCCCCTGGATACACGTGTTGCTCCCCCCTGGGCTATTCGCCCCCATCGTCGCCTCCGAGACTCGAAGAGCTGGTCCCCGGGGGAGGGGTCGGGACGTCTTGGGACTCCGTGCTGGAACAAATCAGAGCGTCGCACGTCTGGGAAGGCACCGCTGCCGCCGCCCTTCCCCCGCTCTGAGCTCTCCCGGGCCATGCTGGAGGAGGAGGAGGAGGAGGAGGAGGAGGAGGCTGAGAAGGGAGAGGAGGAGGAGAAGGGGGAGGAGGAAGAGGAGGAAGAAGGAGGAGGAGGACAAGGAGGAGGAGCCGACTCGTCGCCACGGCTGGGTCCTGTCGAGAGCTCGGCCAGCACGCACCCCAGGAGAGAGGTCCAGGGAGCAGCGGTAACCCCAGGCCCCGGGCGTCATGATGTTTGCATCGCGTGGGCTGGATCCTGGCGAGAGCTCGGCCAGAGCGCACCCCAGGAGAGGACCGGGGAGCAGCGGTGCCCAGGCCCCGGGCGTCATGATCTGTGCACTGCGTCGGCCCCCCAGAAATCGGGGGAACGTAAGGCTCGAGTACGCCGGAGCTTGGGTTTGCCGACGGTTTTTGACGAACGCGTCTTGAATTTTGACGGGCCAGCTTGCTTGGGATGTTGCTTGAGTCTCGATGATTCTTAATGTTTCAATGTAAATCCTAAGATTTGAATAGAAACGTTGGGTTTTAATTCAAGTTCTGAGACTATGGATTTCTTAACCCATGATTTCTTAAGCATGTCGCAGGGTGTGTTGCTCCCCCCTGGGCTATTCGCCCCCCTCGTCGCCTCCGAGACCTGAAGAGCTGGTCCCCGGGGGAGGGGTCGCGGGACGTCTGGGGACGCCGTGCCGGAAGCAAGTCAGGGCGCCGCACGTCTGGGAAGGCACCGCTGCCGCCGCCCTCCTCTCCCTCCTCCTCCCTCCTCCTCCCTCCTCCTCCCTCCTCCTCCTCCCTTTCCTCCTCCTCCTCCTCCTCCTCCTCCTCCTCCTCCTCCTCCTCCTCCTCCCTCCTCCTCCGCCTCCTCCTCCTCCCCAAGAGGGCCACGAGCCGCCGAGAGATCGAGCCAGCCACGCGAGGGC